TTTCTACCTTCTCCTCTCTGTCAACGCTCTCTGGTTTCATTTAAAAGAGTCGATCATCAGATATTGTCCAAGATTTACTTTATTTATCTTAAAAAACAGGTTGTCTAATTAAAATATTTAACAATACAAGTATTTTGAAACACAAAACAAGAAGTCTGCCTCAAAGCTGCCAACACCTGCTCACACCATGAGGAACACCTGTTCAAGTTAACAAACAGCTGTGGACTGAAGCAGTTCTAGGGGGGTCCAGGGGTAAAAGATCTTTTAAAAACTCTGTATTTTCCAGCCATTTGAAGAGTTTCTTACTAAATACTAGGGATTAATAAAACATAAAATCAGTAAAAGTGAGGTCCATTCATGTTTTTCAGTCTTTGCAGTCGAGTTGTTCAGAGCTGAGTCGAATGAAACGATGATGTCATTTCAAACTAATAATGTCAACACCTGATTGTGGTCATACTGAGTCACTCAAAACAAGAGTAGAGCTCTGACGTGTCAACAGTGTAATGAGACTAAATTTGTAAGTGATTATGAACAATGTTGGCTAAACAAAAACTGAAAGTGATTTAATTATTTCTCTCTACAGAGTTCAGAAAAACTGCGAACATTTCAAAGATGTTGGGATAAATGTAATCGTAAATCTAAAAGCCTGGCTCTGTGGTGGACTTGGCTTGGATCAGGTTTCTTGTCTGAACAAAGAAGTTTTAGATTCAAATGCTCAAACACAAAGAACTCTTTTAAAGGAATGATTAAGGTCAGATAAGATGAAAACAAAGACAACACGGTGCTAAGCATGGTGGTGGTACCATCATGCTCCAGGACTGTCTGGAAAGAGAGGTCTATTCCTTAACATACATGTTTGTAGGTATACAAGCTACTAAAGTCAACAGATGTTTCAGTTTTTATTTACTCAAAGTTTAATTTTTATTTGTGTTTTTCTGCTGTCAGACTAAACTCCTTCCACTGTGAGTTCTGTGAGAGTTTATTTATCTGGAACCAGTTTGTCGGCTCAGTTTCTCTCTGGTGTCTGACGTGAGCTCAGGAATGTGATACCAGATAAACTCCTGAAACAAGAACAGGGTGTGTTCACACCGGTCCGACAATCTCTCCAGCTCCACCGACAACACTTTTCATCACAACACGAACACAGTGGTTTCCTGAACGAWGTCTGAACAACAGACATGACTCGGTCCTAAAGCCTCAATCATACAGCGAAAACTTATGGTTTTASCAGAAACAGACGTTTAAATAATGAAATTRAACAAACATGAAGCAAATGACAGATTTAAAAAGAATTTAAAAATGTTAAATTTCTGGAAAAGTTACTTCATTAAGTGAAACGGTCAACAACGTCACAAAYGTTCAGCTTTTGTTGCCACAGTATCTTGTGTGTGTGAATGGGTGTGTTTTTACTACGTCTTGGGGACCAGTGCTCCTTATTGGGACCAAAAGCCTGACCCCCATGCATGCGAATGCTGATTTTTTGGTCAGGGTTAGGCTGTAGAAATGACTGGAAAATGAATAGAAGTCAATGCAAAGTCCCCACGAGGATAGAAAAACCAACATGAGTGTGTTCACCTGGTATCTGTCCAACCATCTTATGATCCAGTGATACATCAGCCCGAGTCAAGATGGCCACCACACCCATTAGACCATAAAAATCACTAAAAATGTCTTTAACTCAGTCGGTTTTAAAGACATTAAGTTTAAAGTTTTGAGTGGTAGTCACTGAGAGTCATTGACGACACATTTTAAACCACCTCTTCTGATATTTCATAAAACAGAGCATGATGTTTTGCAAATTTAGCCTTTGGTTGCTCACGTTTTGCATCCATTTAATAGCCTTATGCTATGTATTGCTAGCTTTTTGCTTGCARTTTGTTGCTTTATGCTACTTTTTAAAATGTTTTTGCTACATGTCAATAGCATCTTGCTTCTTTCTGCTAGCTCTTCTGTACGAGTTTTTGCAACTCCTTACTAGCTTGTTGCAATGTAGGCCTAGCTTTCTGCTAGCAGGTAGCTACATTTTGCTGCTTTTTAAAGTCTTTTTGCAGGTTTTTGCTACTTTTTACAGCAAATTCCTTCTTTAATATTAGCTTTTCTTGACTGCTTTTTATAACTTCTTATTAGCTTTTTGCGAAGTATTGCTAATTTTCTGAAACTTATTTAATCAGTTAGTTTTTTTTCAAGCTTTTTGCTACTTTTCAATTGCASTTTGCTCCTTTGTTATCTTTTTTAACACTTTTTGTCAGTTTTTACTAGCTTTTTGCAATGTAGACCTATTGCTAGCTTTCTGCTAGCAGGTAGCTWCTTTTTACTGCTTTTTYAAATCTTATTGCAAGTTTTTGCAAATTGATTTTGCCTTTTACTCTCTTCTTGTTACTTTTTGCAACTGTTATTAGTCTTTTGCGACTTTTTGCTAGCATTTCGGAACTGCAATGTAGCTTTTTCCTACTATTTTTAGCTAGCTACATTTAGCTTGATTTCAGCTTCTTCAGCAAAATTTRGCGAAGGTATTGATATGTAATCTTTCGTTAGTTGAAATATGATTTAACAGCTTTAACATGTTGATATTATTTACCATGTCAGCCGTGATTAAAACAGGCTAATATTTAAAAGTTCAGATCAGTTTGTAATGTTTTTAGTTTAACAAAAAGATTAAAAGCCGACGTCTGAAAAACAAAAATCCCTGCAGAAAACACGCAGGACTATTATTTTCCTAAAATTAGTTGAAATATTATGAAAATTTGGAGATGCTTCTGGTTTATTAACACAAAGAGTTTTGTGTGAAGTCTGATCTGTAAAACCAGTTAAACCAGTTTGAAGTCAAACAGGATGAGCTTGTTTTTAAAAAAATAAAGCTGTTATTTTACAGCAGCTGTCGGCTCAGATAATGACTCACTTCCATTTGAAACAAAGAAAATGACTTTTTGTTGATTCCTCTCTACAGGAAGTGTGATGCTGAGGTTATATTCATAAAGGTTGACACCTTGATTTTACAATTAATTAGATTTTATTTTATTCCAATTTATCCTGACTGAGTACGAAAGCCAAACCAAACCTTTGGAGCAAAAAAAAAAATCCACTTTGACAAAGACATGTAATGTAAATATTTTATTACAAAAAAGTAATATTAATAAACAAAGAAGTATTTGATACTGCTGTGAAGCAAATATATGTGTACAATCTTAAAAAAAATCATAAAATTAGAACAAATCTCTGATGCTGTACAGTTTCCATCGGACRTTTTGTGACCATGAACCACCTGCTGCTGCGGCTCAGACTCTAWCAATCAGAAAACAATCATTTCAAACACAACCAGAAGATAAAACTGCTCTTCGTCTCTGCAGAAAACACAAATACTGGAGGATTTTTCCTGCCAGAGTCACATCTAACCCTCGTTGCTGACAAAGTCTTTCTCTCGGTGCGGTGGTCCGTTGAGCCGTCAGGAAGTCCGATCAAAGGTATAAAAACTTGGATAATTTAAAGTCTTTTTCAGCAGAACTCTCAGACGTAGGCCCGGCTGGTGGCGACGGACTTGGCAGGGCTGTACCGGACTGGATACTCTTGGGCCTGATCCTTGGGAGGGCAGGAGCTGCACAAGAGGGCCCCTCCCAGCAGGAGAACGGCCGCGGCGCCCCAGCCGATGTAGAGGGAGGCCCCCAGCTCCCTCCTCTGAGCATCGGTCATRATGGGGTTGTAGAAATCCCTGACGATGGTGTTGGCGGACCAGCACACGGGGATGAGCACCAGGACGCCGGCGATGATGATCATGACCCCGGCGGCGATGGCCACCCTACTTTTGGCCCGTTCCTCCTCCACGAAGTTGGTGCACTTTCCCCCGGCGATGCCCAGGATGATTCCCATGGCGGCGACGATGATGGCGATGACCACGAGGGCCCGGGCGGCCTGCAGGTCCTGGGGCAGCGCCAGCAGCGAGTCGTAGATCTTACACTGCATCTGACCCGTGCTCTGCATCACGCAGTTCATCCACAGGCCCTCCCAGATGACCTGCGCCGTCACGATGTTGGCTCCGATGAAGGCCGTCACCTTCCACATCGGCATGGCGCACACGATGATGGTCGCGAGGAAGCCGATGATGGCGAGGACCAAGCCCAGCATCTGTCGTCCCATAGACACCATGATGACGGTTGAGTTGGAGGTAAATGAAGCAGAGAAAAGAAGTTGGCTGTTGTTGAACGGTTGGTCGGTCAAGTGAAGTCTGTTCCACGGCTCAGTCAGTTTTAAAGTCTTGAAGGCGGAGCCCCAGCATCCTTCCCTCTGACCTGAAACCAGTGTTGGCAGTGATTTACCGGTCCAACCAGATTCTTCTCTGAAGAATGAGGAGCGGTTTCGGCGAGATGAACTTCCACTCTGAACGAWTCAATGTAAACGAGGCGCCGCATTCAAACGACGCTCAGCGTGGAGCTCGCTGCTGATTGGACCGTCGACGTGACGTCGTGTCCAATCRCTGGTTTCAGGTTTGTTTAAAAAGWCAAAACMACGTCGGTGAGAGTTTCACCGGATGTAAGAACTGTTCTCCTTTTAGGGTGAAATGTCCTGGTTGTACTGGTTGTTTTTGCTTCATAATCTGGGGATTTTAAATGTTTTAATTATCAAAAGGCCTAAATTGTGTTTATGTCAGTTATTATTWTTAAAACTAAATTATCATGACAGGTTTTGGAAAATGGGGCAGTAAACCCAGATTTATAGATTTGTATTTTATCAGACTATTTTAATTTTACCAATTAGTTTTATTCATTATTTAGACATTTTTTGATACATTTTAAGTTGATTTTTTATAAAGAATCAGAAGATCATTATTGTGTTTCTTAAACAATACAAATACAATATTTATAACGATTAAATATATCAGAAC